AGGCCTTTAGGGGCACCAGCAGCTTTAGTTAGGTGTATACCGGGAGCCAGGGTGCCGGACATAGCAGGTAATCTTAGGGTCTTAGGCAAGCACAGGTTTTCAAAGATACTAACTAAATCCTAACGTAAAATATATAGCCACAAAAAAAAATCTACCCAGTTGTTATCCAGTTGTTTCCACTATTTATTATTTACAGACCATATTCTGAATTTCTTCATGAATTTATGGATTTCATCTCAAACCTGGGGCCTCATTTATCAATCATGCGTATGTATAGTGTTGTGCATACTCACGTTTCTATGCACTGAATGAGATTTATCAAGTTTTGTTTATGTGTGAGGATGTGCATATATTTCCACACACTCCTGACCATGGATATGCAAAAGCCCCTAGTGGTAGAAAAGTATAATAGTGGAGTTGACTATACAGTGACAGAAACCCGCAAAGGAATGGCGCCTGAACCTGCGGGAAAACTCATGACTGAGGCGGTGGAGGTATCTCACGTTAGGCAAGCCGCTCGAGCGAGGGCTATTATAATACTGTTTGCACTGCACTGGGTGAAAAATTACATTTGGAAGAGTGCAAAGAACAGCAACCACCTCAAAGAACACAAACTATGCTTCAGAGAGGATCTGTCAAAAGAAGAAAAAGCATCCCGTGCACTGCTCTGGCCTTGCGTACAAACAGAACGCAACAAAGGGGAAAAGGTTTACTTTGTTGGTTCTAAAGCTTATATTGCTGGCAAAGAAATCATTCCATCGAAAATGGATACAATTTGATTCCATATAAGTGTTGGAGCAAAATCTATGATGGATGTGTTGAAGATAAACACATCTGTTTTTGTTTGTTGTTTTGTCTAAGATTACTGTAAGGCTGTTGTGCCTAAATTTTCAAATTTAGAAGGAGAAAAGCAAAGTTTTTTTTCTCTTTTCATATTACTCCTTTTATTTGTTTTCTTTATTTAAAGTTTGATGGACTTAAAATTATGTTCTTGAAGCTTTTTTTCTTTGCAAAAGTGATTTAATTTTCATTCAAGAGACTCATTCGTGCCCTGAGGATTTTAATTTTTGGACCAGTGGGGGATGAGATGTGGTTAGCTCATCATCAAATCACTCAGGTGGTATTTTGGGATTTTGTCACATCATTTGAAAGGAAACTGTTTGTGGAGCATGATATTGCTACTGACTGATATAAGTGATTGTAAGTTCATTATTGTTAATGTATATGGATTCTGTTCAAAAGATGCAAACACTTTGTTATTATTTGTTATTATTATTGGTGGCGATTTTAAAGTCTTTATGAATGGCTCCATGGATAAATGCCCTCCTAGAGCAAACAGTGATTCCAACAATCTTTTGCGATTAAATTTCAGTCTTGACTTGAAACCCCACCACTAAGCAATTTGCATGGAACAACAAAAATCTCTCATTACAGTCATGTATTGATCTTCAGCTGATTTCTTCATGTTTAGAATCTTTTATTTTAGAAACGTCTGTATTGCCTGCTGTTCTAACTGACCATAAGGTAATTAGCCTTAGCATTATCTGGCAGTCAGGGACATAGAATTAGTGTGGATTTTGGAAGCTGAATAATTTGCTGTTGAAATATGATGACTTAGAAACACTTATCCATAATCACTAGATCTCTGAAATTAATACTAGAGAACTTGGTAAACAATGGAAACATTTGAAATAGGAAGTGTTGTTAGGACCTATGGTAAACAATTCACCAATAAAAGAAAGGGAGACAAAATTGAAATTTGAAGGGAAATTAATGATTTAACAGAAAGGGGAACTTACACTACTGAGGACCAAGCCTCTCTGGACAAACGCCAAAATAAACCGAACAAAATATCCAAAAAAAACCCATCCAACCACCCACACACACCCGGAGCAGTGCCGGGGGTTTGGTGCCTTGCTCAAGGGTCTCACCTCAGTCGTGGTATTGAGGGTGGAGAAGACACTGGTCATTCACTTCCCCCACCTACAATCCCTGCTGGACCTGAGACTTGAACCCATGACCTTCAGGTTCACCTTCAGGTTACAAGGCTGACTGCCCCATTATGTCCGTAAGAACCATTAGTAACCATTTCAGTCTTGTATATTCTGAAAATTTAATTGGAAGAAGTTAAAGAGGGCATTTGTCACAATTGGGAGATGAAGGCAGATGCAAGTGCAGATTTTATTTAAATAAAGTGCAGCCAGATAACCAAAACTTTGAAAACAAGAACCAGAACAGAGACAAAATCATCCAGGCAATAAAAAAAAGACTGTGAAACACACAACGACAACAAGAGAAGCTTGACAATAAGATGCTAAAACACAGGAACTTATATAATGATCACCACTAATCAGCGTGAAACTAGACACAGGTGTGAGTGATTGAAAACATGTGACATGGTCATGTGCTGGGGCTGATGGGTAATGTAGTTCAATGCCAATTTTGGCATAACCATGGCAGCATTCTTCTTCTTCTTTGGCTGCTCCTGTTCGGGGTCGCCACAGTGGATCATTAGTGTGCACATTTGATTTGGCACAGTTTTTACACCAGATGCCCTTCCTGACGCAACCCTCTCCAATTCCGGGCTTGAGACGGCACCGAGAGCGCACTGTGGCACACAACCCCAGTGGCTAGGGCTGGTTCCCTGGCCGGGAAGCGAACCCAGGCCGCGGTGGGGAGAGTGCTGAGGCCTAACCACTAGTCCTCCAGGGACCCATAACCATGACAGCATTAAGTAGTTAAAAAATAAATCCCCTGGGAGTGATGGGTTGACTTCAGAGCTATATAAAACTTTTTGGAAATTTTTATTGGCAGTATATGAAGAATATTTTGTTAATGGATACCTTCAGAAGGTGTTATTTCTTTAATACAAAAACCCCAAAAAGATACTCTTCTGATCGATAACTGTCATCCAATTACTTTATTTAATAATAACTATAAAATTTTGGCATCAGTTTTAGCAAATCGACTTAAATGTGGCTCTGATGATTTGATTGACGGGTGCCAGTCAGGTTCATGACAGGTCGTCACATATCCAACAATGTAAGGCTAGCTCTGGATTTGATTGATTATTGTGATTTGGTTTTGGATCCTTCTCTTGTGTTTTTAGATTTCCAAAAAGCCTTCACTACTGTTAGCCATAATTTCATCTTTAGTGTATTACGCTTCTTTGATTTTAGTGATTATTATATTAATGTAGCCAAAACTCTTTATGTGAGAGGAAACAGCTGTGTTAAGCTTCTATCTGGAACAACACCAAAAATTCCTATTCACAGCAGTATAAGGCAGGGTTGCCCCATTTCCCCCTTTTCATTCCTGCTTGTTACACAGATTTTAAGTTTAATGGTTAATCAAATGTTATTAAAGGTAGAATTCAAGATAAAGAAATAAAAGTTTCCCAATTTGCAGACAATGCCACAATTTTGTTAAAAGATCAGTCTGAAGTTCCTAAAGCATTAGAGATTATTAAAGATTTTTCTCAGGTTTCTGGCCTTTCTCTCAACATTTTAAAATGTGAAATATTGGGTTTAAAATATAGATAAAACAGCAATTTTTGGAATTCAGCCTAAAGACATAATTATTTGGGTGTAAAAGTAACTTTAAATTCAGATTTGGTCCTCACAGAAATTAATTTAAATCCCATGACTGATGTGATTAAAAAGAAATTCAGGTCTTGGCTGGAAAGAGACATGTCTCTCACTGCTCAGGTTTTATTATCGCAGGAAGAGGGTCTACCCGCGGGATCCCGAGCCCCGGTGACGCAATCGCAGCTCGTCGCTCTCTGATTGGACAGCAGGCTCACGCGCTAGCCGTGTTTCTAACCTGCAGCCGCGGCACACTCCTCAGCCGGCGCAGGCGCAGAGGCTGTTTATCGGTTTATCCAGACTTTTATTCTGAAAGGGCTGCGGCCACGCGACCGGAAGTGAGAGCTGCTATTGCAGATGGTTTCAGTAGAGCGCAGCGTTTTCCTTCCGGATATCAGCTCCATAAGCTTCACATGACGAGTGTGTAAACATCTCACATTCTGCATGATCTGCGCTGCTGTGTGTAAAGCTGTGAGTAGTGTGTAATGTTTTCAGCGTTAGCCGCTAGCGCTAGCTTCAGCCGCGGTGGTGCAGTGCAGTGAGCTGATGAGTGGAGAGTGAACACTGCGAGGGCACGAGCTCTAATGTTTTACATTCACAGCTGCATCACAGCTGCACTGAGGGGTTACACTGAGTGATACACTGAGGGGTTACACTGAGGGGTTACACTGAGTGATACACTGAGGGGTTACA